ACTCACGCTATCATTGTGACTTATTACATAATGTGAAATTGTGTATCTAATTGAATTTTATTTATGAATGTATCTATTAGCTAGTGTATCTATTGATTGCATTCCTAGTTTGCTCCTTAAATTTCGGAACTGGTGCTTGTCAAGTGCCTTTGTAAAAATATCTGCCACCATTGACTTGGTGTTGCAGTTAACAACGCTAAATTCGTGTCTCTCCACTTTTTCTTGAACGAAGTCATATCGGAGGTCAATGTGTTTTGATCGTCCGTGTAGTTCTGGGTTGCTAGAGAGTTTGATGCAGCTCTGATTGTCTTCCATAATAACAGTTGCTTTCGCTGTCGAGAATCCAAGTTCTTTGAGTAGCAATTTAAGAAATATTACTTCTTGCATGCAGTGACATAGTGCAATGTACTCAGCTTCTGTAGTCGAGAGCACGACAGTGTGCTGTTTTCTCGAAAGCCATGAGATTGGGCTTGACCCAACCATTGTTACATATCCGCCAACTGACCTTCTGGTTTCGGGGCAACTCGCGTAATCCGAGTCTGTGTAAGCTATCAGGTGATCAGCTAAATTACTGGAATCAATCGACGTTGACCCACCAAGTAGTAAGCCTTGGTCGGTTGTTCCTGACAGATATTGTAGACCTCTTATCACTGCTTTCCAGTGTTCCTTTCCAGGATTTGTTAGAAACTGGCTTACTTCGCGCATGTAAAAAGCTAGATCAGGACGAGTACCAACCATGAGGTACGTTAGGCTGCCTACAACTTCTCTATATGGAATATCTTTCGTAGCCTCCCTTTCTTCTTTAGTCTGCGGTTCCATGGCCTTTGTGAGCTTGATGCTACGGTCTAATGGCGTAGCCGTCGGGTACGCAATCAGATGTTTGAATTTGTCGAGAACATTTGTGGCATACTTTTGCTGGTGGATAATAATCGTTCGTTCTGCACGGTTTCTCTCAATGAACCAACCGAGAATGTACTTCATCTGTCATTGAAAACCTCTGTTTGAGGGCCGATTTAATACGACATACGAGGCTCACTGTTGGTGCTATGATGAGCAGAGCGTCCACATAGACAGCAATGTAGCATACTTGCTCATCAAATGTTGCAAAAAAAAAAACGCACCTGTCTATGATGAGTTTGTGAAACCCAAGGCTCTCAAGGAACGCGCATAGCGTCTGATACCAAAATGCGAGGTGCTTGTTTAAGACCATAAATACTCTTTAAGAGCTTGCAAACAAGGCGTTCTTGGCCCGGGACGGCGAAACCTTCAGGCTGGGCCATGTATATTTCCTCAGTAAGGAAGCCATTAAGGAACGCTGTTTTAACATCCATTTGATGGATTTCGTAGTTGAGCAATGCTGCAATAGCCAGGAGAAGGCGAAGTACCTCCATCCTGATAACACGAGAGAAGATTTCAGTGTAATCAACGCCGTACTGCTGTAAAAAGCCTTTGATAACAAGGCATGCTTTGAACCGGTCAATTTCACCCGTGCCAGTGTTTTTGACAACGAAAACCCACCGGTTTTGTAGAATCCGGCGGCCGTGTGGTGGTGGAACCAGAACACACGTCTCATTTGTAATGATTGACGTGTATTCGGATTTTGCAGCTGTCCGCCATTGCCTGGCGTAACATGATTTCATGGCTGCTTTGTAGGACTTGTGTTCAAGCACATACCATATAGCTAGCAGGTTAAGAATTTGATTTGCACGCTCGTTGGTTTCCTGAATATTCTCAGTTGATGTCAGCTCTATAAAGTGATTGGCTTCTCCATTCGAGGTCGTTTAGTAGAGCGTTCCGGAGGATGTGTGGGCGTCTCCGTTACAAATGAATAAGTCAGGGCGCCACGCTCAAGTGTATCACTCAGTGATGGAAGCGGGTTCGGCGTCGCTGTAGGTTCTATAGAGTGTGTGGCGTGTGGTCGGACCAGTGGTGATTGGGTTGTTGCTAATTTAGAAACGGTATCACTACCAGACGTAACAGTGGCAGCCGTTGTAGATAGCTGAACTGGCAGCGGCAACGGATCGGCTGTGGAATCAACGTTAGCAAGGGCTGGAAAACTGTCTTCCCAAAAACGACATCCCGGCTGTAAACAATTGCATGGGTTTAGACGGTAAGGTACTGTGGTGGCAGGGAGTGTTACCAGCAGCACAGCACAGGTTCACGAACAAGGGATGCAATTTTTGCTTGCCACGTTAGTCTGTAATCGCCAGCTCTAGCCGTATCTGGAGCTCTAGACTCCGTGTCTGCCAAAAGCCCCGACACCACTACCGACGCATGCCTTGCATGGACATGACCTGAGCTCCCACGAAATCGATTGAATATGCTAGGACGGCAATGTATTACGCGCAGTTATGCATCATCCGTGGCTGCATCTGGGTTTCTGCAGAATACTCCCTTGCTAGTCAAGAAGAAGTAGCGAAAGCGAAGATACTCGACTTGTTCCCTGGACACCTTGGGAACCGGAATACCACGCACGCCCCCAGTGACTGCAGGGCGCAAGGTGAGCTCGAAGAGCATAACTCAGGCTACGGTCAAGCGAGCATCTGTTAGTGCTGCCACGGCACGCTCAAACGGAAAGAAGATGAAAAGCAAACGTGCGACGAAGACGTCTCCTGCGGCATCTGAAGCCCCCGACGATCCTGCATCCGAAACAGACGCATTTGATGCGTCCTAACCATCACAAGCACACGGGCAAGAAGCACAAGCGGAGAAGCGACCTCGTTCGAAGGGCAAGAAGGGCTCGAAGGAGAAGCCTCCGACCAAGGGAGGACGCCCGGTCGGTGCGCAAGGCTACAGTGAGTCCAATACCATGGCACTTCTTACACTCATTGATCAAGCCTTCCTCGTGGAGGAAACGAATGGGATCGAGTGCGAGATCAGTACAACGCACAACACGCATTGCTTGAGGGTCGTGATGCACGTACGACGGACTCGCTCAAAAGTCGATTTCGCCATGTTCTTCCTCCAGCGGCCTCTAGCGGCAAGACACGTTGCTCTGCCTTGCGTACCATGGCGGTGGAAATTCTACAACGGATCATGAACAAGGTGCACAATGTTACTGTGGACGACTCGCAGAGCCTCGAAGAGCGCAGCGACTACGACGAATACGACGAGAATAGTGCTAGTGAGCACAATGAAGACAGCGAAACCCAGAGCAACGTGAATTCGTTGCCCTCAACTAAAGCGTCGGGAGCAGCTGAAGCGGATTCTACTTCTCAACCAACAGAACAACAACGTCCGAAGCGAAGCCGTGGAAACCGAGAGATTCAGAGTTTTTTGTCAGTCCAGAATGCGTCACTTCAAGAAGCGAACACGGCACTTACCAATCGATTGATCGCGCTGACATCGGAGCTAGACAGCAAGCGCGAGCGCATCTCGGACCTTCGTGATGAAAAGCAGCAACTGATGGAGGAATTGCGACGTAATGAGGATATCATTCGCGATCGTAACAACTCGAACCGATGCCTCGACAGCGACAACCATTACATTGCCAATGAAAATCGGCGCTTGCACGATGAGAACGTCAACCTTCTTGAGCCTGCGTTGCAACGACAGCAAGCTGGATACCAAGCAACCGCTTCCAACCACCAGTTTTGAACAGGGTCTGCTGCTGAATCTAAGACGTTTTATGGTGTCCTACTCCTCGACAGCATCATTTAAAGCGTCATAGTAGCGTTTGATACGATCCGAAGCTTGAATTTCTCGGAATACCATTGATTCAAACTCTTCATATAGCGTTCTACCACCATCTTGCCATGTTTTCTCGTACACCGTCTTAATCTGATTGATCCCCATTCGGCGGGTACGTACTTGGTGAAGGCGAGCGCAGGTTTCGAGAACAATGGCTCGATATTCGCCATCATCGGCAGGCAGAGGCAATTTGAGTCTTGCAAACGATCCCTGTAAAGATCGCATTCCCCATTCAGCAGCTTGACGAACAGATACTAGCTCTCGATTTATTTCCAGCAGCACTTCCAATTCATCAAGCAGCCCTGTTCTCGTAGGATGCGCGGCTGACGAGATCGCTTCTTTAGAGGTGTTTTAATTCGACTGGAGAGACCTCGGTGAGACCTCGGGAACGCAGAGTCAGCGATAGCAAAATATCCCTCGGGAGTCTTGTTCAGTAGTTTGCCGTACAAGTCTTGTGCCACAGCAGCATCATGCCAGCTTCCAGGGGCATTCAAAAGTGCACAAAGAATTGCTCCATCTGGAGCAAACACGAAAACGGAGGAGCAGTACTGCGAACATGTCCATCCGTTGTACCGGGAGTTTTGAGTGCCTTCGTCCAATGATTCAGCAACTGGAATCTTTACTCCATCGATAGAACAAAACGCGCCGTGAAGACTTGGATGGCGAGCTGCAATAAGCTCAGCGTAGTACGCAAACTTTGTAGGGGTCTTGGGCCATTCAATCCTTCCTTCCGGTATTATCTTCAATGTTTCGAGGAGAATTCTCAGTCCAAAGTTCACGTAGCGGCTACAAACACTTGGTGTGAGACCAAATATCTCCTGAAGAGAGAGTTCAGCCATCGTAGAGTTCAGGAAGTGTAGGACCAGGGCGAGAGCTCCAGTAGGCGATAGTGAGCGGCGTGAGGGCCGACTTACTCCTTCAATATCAACGTCACTCCGAGGAATCGGCACACGGTAAACAGTCTGAGCAGGAAGTGGAAGCTTGCAACATCAAAGCCAGTAGTGATGATAAACACGGCGTCGTTGCCAGCAGCGTATATGCATTCCCATGATGTCCCATGACGCGGATTTCGCGGGAGATCAGCTCTTGTGAGGCTGCTCCTGCCACGCTGGCGAGACTTCCGGATGCGTTCTCCCTCAGCTGCCATGGCAAACATGATGCTGGTCGACTCATCCAGCCACTCGTCGTCGTCTTCATCTTCGTAAACCATGCGGGCGATGCGTGATAGCGGCATTGGACTGCGTTTTAGACCGTCTAAAACTTCTGTCCGAGGGGTGTGTACCCCGGACAGAACGAAAATCTATTGTGCTGGTACCGCCACGATTTAGACA